TAACAATAACCGAATCAAATTTAGGATCGGGGTTGATTACATGTCTTTTAATTACTTCTCTTTTTCTCATTAATTTTATTTTTTAATGGTAACGATTTACCTTCCTATTGATAAATGAAAAGAAACTAAGGGAGATGAATTGCTTCTTTACAGACAACTCTGCGTAAACAGAAAAATTCATCTTGATTTTTCTCAACTTCTTTAAACTATATGTGCCTCCCCTTTAAAAAAACTATATTATGAAACTTATTTATGCCAAAATACCATGAGCGAAAATAATAAATCTTTACAACAACAATTAATTGAATATTTTGGAACCCAGAGAATAGGAAGTACCCCACTTCCTCCAATAATAATCAAAAATCTTAGCCGTGATTTACGTCCTTATCAAAAAGACGCTTTTCGCTATTTTATTAACTACTGAGAAAACGAAAAATTTGCCAGTAATTCCAGTCAACGACAACTTTTATTCCTTATGGCGACCGGTAGCGGCAAGACTTTAATAATGGCCGGATTAATTTTGTACTTATATCAAAAAGGATATCGTAATTTTCTCTTTTTTGTCAACAGTACTAACATTATTGATAAGACCAGAGATAATTTTTTGAATGACACTTCAATCAAATACCTTTTTACCAAAAATTTTTCTTGGGTTGACAAAAAAATTACTCTTCAAGAAGTAGAAAATTTTCAAACTACCGCTAACGATAGTATTAGTATTTGTTTTGAAACCATTCAAGGACTCCATTCTCGCTTAAATAACCCTCGCGAAAATAGCATAACTTATGAGGATTTTCAGGACCAAAAAGTTGTGCTCATTTCGGACGAAGCTCACCATATCAATGTGGAAACTAAATCAGGCTCACAACTTTCCAAGGAGGAAAAAGCAGAAAGAAATTCCTGGGAAAATACGGTTAACAAAATTTTTGCTGCTAACTCGCAAAATGTTCTTTTAGAATTCACGGCCACGATAGACAAAAACAACCCCTACATTTGAAATAAATATGCACCCAGGCTCATTTTTGATTATCCTTTAAAACAGTTTCGGATTGATGGCTATTCCAAAGAAGTAAAAGTATTACAGACCGACGCCGAACCCTTTGAGCGGGCTTTGCAAGCCTTATTATTAAGCCAATATCGCCGCAAAATATTTGAAAAAAACGGCCATGTAATAAAACCGGTTATTTTATTTAAATCCAAAACTATTAAAGAGAGCGAAGAATTTCAAGATGCATTTATAAAGGGAATAGCAACTCTTACCAGTGATAACCTTGGAGAAATTGAGGCCAACATCAAAGATGAGTTTCTGATAAAAGTATTTAAATATTTGGCTAATAATAATATTTCCTTGGATAATTTGGTCATAGAACTGAAAGAAGATTTTGCTGCGGAAAA